TATACAACTGCTTTTAGTGTAGTTATTAATTTTTTTTACGTATTTTTCGTAATCTGTAAATATTTATTTGACCTAAATACTAATTCGAAGAAGCCGGCAACGCTAATGAATCCACTGCATAAATAAAAGTGAGCAAGAAGGAAAAAAGAAACTCACCCAAAACAAGATTCATATCGTACGTTAACTTATAATTTTTGCTTGCGCCAGTAAATGTGATATGTATCGGAATGGAAAAACCAGCATAACCCATTTCGGTAACCTCGAATGGTGGTTCCTTGATTACGCGTCTTGGATTCGGGAAATCCGGATGTAACTCAAATACAACCTGCAAGAAAGATTGAAGATGAAAATAAAAGCCCGTTCGAACAAAATTCAGAAAAAAAAAATTCTACGCTTAGCACGAACAATTAAAAAAACGGTACAGACGCACATACACACACACACACACGCACACACACCACACACACACAACCCTTCGCCAATATGCGTTTTCTGCATTGTATAGATGCAAAAAATGCATTAAAAAAATCGCACCTAACCGCATTCGATACTCAAAACAAAATTTAATATAAAATAAAAAACGCACCGTAATCAATATAAATTTTAAATTTTAAAAAAATCACATCTAACTGTATTTAATAACGAAAATAGTGCAGAAAAGGAAACAACTTCACAAAATAAAACCCAAGAAAAAAGGAAAAATTAAAAAATAAATCCCTCTAAGCTTCAGGCTTTAATGTTTGATACTTATTATAGGTTCCAGTCTTTCAAATATATTTCGTTATAAGCTAATAGCTATTCTTGCTGTAGCAATTATAATTTTGCTTAATAAGTATTCCAGCACTTAATATCAAAGAAATCCTAAATTAAAGCCAAAAAAATACAATCCAGAGAGATTCTGCTTCCAGAATATACATTTACACCATATTTTGAGCATCAAAACGACTAATTTTCTTTCTCATTCTGTCTGCTGTTTCTCCGATTTCTCTTTCTTTCGCATATGTGTCTCGCATACAAGTCACATGACTGTTCAGAACATGGCAGGTAGGAGGCTGTACTGATGATTCCCGCTCCTAACCACATGCATTGCTTTGTGTGTGTTTGTTTACAGCTAAGGGATGAAACACAGGCTGCATCGTAAAATGTTCTCCGGCACATGACACTTAAGGTCAATCCTTCTATTCTCCTATTCCAACGCCTTAACAGATAAATTATGGCATGTGAAAGATGAAACGCAGTAAAATTCTATCTTTTTCCTTAACCAAATGCATGGAATATATATGTATGACCTGTTTGTTGAATAAATCTATCAGTATATTAGTTTGGTAAACTAAAAAAAGCCTCACTTCAACCAAATATCCTCCCTCTACACACCAAGCCGAAACCAGAATACCATGATAATAGCAATTTTCCAGTGCACTAGGTTGAAGGTTCGATTCCGTCGATGAAACAACCAATCCCTCTACTATTCGTTCATTCGTTTCGATGGTAAATTGGTACTGGTACGCTTGTCAGAGAGTCAAATCCATCATCAGTTTCCTTACATGCAATCCTCGAAAGAGAGAGCCATCGACAGCCTTGACAGCAGTTGATTCCTGTTAGCATTACCTATTACCCAGGCTATTTCTCGAGTGCCTTTGCCTTTCAATGAGAGTGAATCCGAAAGGAATTTTTGACTTTTAACTTACCACTGAATAATCATTATAGTCTTTTATTACTGTTATCACGATTTCACTTCTCTATTTTTACTTTTTATCTTTCCAACATAACACATCCACTAAGTTTTCCAGCACACGCCATTTTAATTGGTTGCTATCAAAATAATCAAACCTTGGAAATGAAACTTCGATCCGTGAAAGGAATAGAGCTAAAAGAATGCACGAAAACGGTCCATCGATGGGTCAAACCGTTCGGTGTTGGGCGATCGAGCATTTCCGATCTGCAAAATATCATGCTTAGAGTGACTGATTTGCATCGAACGAACTTCCAAAGCAATCTATTCATTCATTTTATAAATAGTAGAATAGAGGGATTGGACATAAGTGTCACGTGTAAGAAGACATTTTACGATGCAGTCTTTCTCTGTGTTTCATCCTTTAGCTGTAAACACCAAGCGAATTAAGCATGCGGGTAGAAGTGGGAATCATCAGTACAGCCTCTTACCGGCCCTATACTGAAACAGTCGTATACTATTTTTTAGTCTTCGTGTTGATCAAAACCTTGAAATTTCTAGTCGTTTTGACAGCTGGGCAGCAAAAATCATCTTGTCCGGGGGAAAAAAGGAAGTGAGACAGATGGAAAGACTATACACCTGTCCCGAGGCTAGCTTTTTTTATTCGTGATCGGGAAGACAGGAGACGAAGAGGCACTCACATACGTAGAATATCTATGGACTTCCTCCACGTGTCATTTTCTTTCGCTTTTTTTCCATTTTTTAAAACTTTTTCCAAAGTCCGAGTCAAAACCCCTTCCTTCCTTCGCCTGTGAGTCTGAGTGGTAGCAAATGTCAATAGCAACCACAATAACAACTGTTAAATACCACAACAAATAAAGCGGAAGATTTTTCTTTTCCCTTCTTACTTTATTTTCCATAAGTTTTCATCACATTAACCAATTTTAGTACTTGCATTACTATGCATCTTCCATAACACCCAGTTCACTACTAACATGCATTACACAATTAATTTAGTCCCAACTTTCATTAACTTCAATTATCACAATTATCATGCTGACGAGGTGCAGTTGTGGTAATGGTAAGAAATGTATACGATTTAATGGACCGAAATACTTTTTAACCAATAACACTCAGTTCACTACTAACATGCATTACACAATTAATTTAATCCTAAATTTCATTAACTTCAATTATCACAGTTGTCATACTGACGAGGTTCAGTTGTGGTAACGGTAAGAAATGTATACGACTTAATGGACCGAAACACTTCTTAACCATTATTATAATCTCATAAATTTTT